TTCAGTTGGTAGAGCGTTTGTCCACTGATCTAAAGGTTGGCCGTTTCCAGCTCCTACAGATGAATGCTGTCAAGATCAGAGTGCCTTGAAGGTGGAAAAATGCTGTATAAAAATGTGACTATTTACCATTTACATTGGATCATGTAACAGAATATGGCCAAATACATTTTAAAGCAGGTATTCTTTTCTGTTTTGTTTTGCTGTTCCTTGCATTTGCACCTCTGCAGGAACCTTGGTTTGCATTTTCTGCATTATTTAATGCAGGTATTCTTCCCAATACTGCAGTGGACATTGTTGACCAACTGCCTAATATCCATGCTCTATCTGCTCTGACTGGCTCTCCTTATATCAGTTAATAAAAATAATAATAATTACAGGCTTTAACATTTTCCATATGTGACCATTCCAGATCCAGAATGCGTAACATACAGTATCTCTGTCAGTACTGTCACTAGGTCACCGTAATGGACTTCGACTTCTGCTTTGGAGTAATGGGCAGGAGCGATGACTCAGCCGTCTGTTGTGTCTGGCAGCTAACTCTGTCGGGAAAAACTATCTTCTGTAATAAATAATACTTGGCCTTCTGCAATGTCAAAATTAAGCGTGCAGGTGAAGATCTTGTATTGATTGCAAAAACATGCAAAGTACTAGTATATGATTGTGAATTTTCAGTCTAATGTGAAAGGGCCTGTACCTGATTTTAAACCATGCGTTATTCCCTTCTGGCCCTTCTGGTGATATTGCACCATGATGGAAACAAGTGTCTGAGATAGTGTCATGCAGTTGTTTCCTTATAGTTCTAATATCTTAACCTACAATCTCTACTTTTTTTGTTACTGTTGGAAATGCCTGAGGATCAAGTGTCTGGGGTGGTGTCAGGCAGTTGGTTTCCCGTGATTCTTAGTTGAAAAAGAGGTGGAGATTTTAAGATGCTAATACTACCCTATGCCTTCATTCTGAACGATAAATGTATTTACCAGTACTAGTTGTGATCTAGTCATTTATCAGGTTGTTCCACAGTGCATTTTGCCAGAAACATTTCCATGGTTGTTTATTGGTTGCGGTCCAAATGTGTTCCTCGTTTTTTTAAAGGTGCATTATGTAACTTTCTGATAGAGGGTCCGTCCAATGCTTTTCTCCATGGAGATGTTATTGCTTTCTTTGGAATGTTTCACAGTACAGCATTAAACCTTTCTATCTTCTTGACCAAATCAGACCAAGTTACAGGTCAGATCTGTGAAGAGGCAGCCCCACTCACAGTCAGAATGCTTCGTTTATTAGGTATTTTAAGTTCTAAAGCCACCTGTAATTGGATAAATGTAAAGTAGAGCTGTTTAATGTCATACTGTGGAACATTCCAGGCAGAGTAATGGCATATCTATAGAAACAAGCAGGTGATGGACCTTCCACTAAACATTTAAATCATTCCTAGCATCCTAGTTTATAACCACTTTTCACAACTCTCAGAGAGACAACAACAACAGCTAACGTGCTAACAACACACTTTTTTACACACAAAAAATATGGCTTCATAATGTTAGTCCATTTCGTTTTATTGTTGTGCAATGTCTTATTGAGAAATGCGTAATTTATCATTTAATTTCTTTGATTAGTTTGTAGACAGAATGAGCTCTCACATTGGCTTCTGTTAGTGAAATAAACAAAAAGAGTCTTTTGAACTAACTTGAAATGAACCGATCCAAAAGATTCAGATCCCATGAACAAACTACAAGTACCATCACTAAGCAGTAGTTGGATTAACAGAATGAGTGAATATTCTAAAAGCAGTGTTCACATAACGTCATAAAAAGGAAGGCAGGCTGGAGCTCTATTATCACACAAACACTATGGATTTGCTACAATGAATATGTAATCTTATAGTGTTTGGTTGTACAGCTACACTTTTGGGCCTGTATCAACTTTCAGTACGTGACAGTAGGATTGTCACAAGTATTGAAAATCAGATACTCACTGATACTAAAACCAGTATTGAAACTAGACTCATTTGAGCAGGTATCAATACTAAAAAAGTTACATTCACAGGACAGAACTGAAGCTTTCCTGAACAGCTTTAGAATGATCTTGAGCTTTAACAGAACAGGTATAAGACCTCATAGACTAGTAAACAATACACTGAAGGATTACACAGATATAAGGCCACATGGTTATATAAAAGAAAGAACTGCAATGTAAAACTGAAAATCACATTCTGTTCTGTTTTCTAGTCTATTTTATTATCATTGTAGTATCAGAATGGGTATTGAGTATCGAGATTTTTTAGTTTTTTTTTATCGTGACCATTTCTTTAATCAATAGTAACTTATTCTACTATTTATTGATTGATTTTTGTTTGTCATGTTTTTAATAATATTGTACATTTCGATACAACTGCTTTAAGCCTACAATTTGGAGAAAATATGAACTGACAAACTAATATGAGAAGATGTTTGTACAAATCGAAACTACAGGGCTAGCAGCTTTTTACGCAGAATAAATTTTGTCATTAGTGGAGGAACCAATGGTACTTCAAAAACTGCAATAATTTGTTAACCCTGTCCGTTCCAATTGTGATTTTGATTCGATGGCGATTACTCTTGCAGCCCTATAGTTCAGTATATGAAAAATGTATACAATTTCAGGCTCAAATCTGTAATGTACTCTTGTGTAATTTTATTTGCCCCAGTGTATGGTAGCTAGCTCGTTGCACAAGCAGAGGAGCGCATAAATTAACACATCTGTAACTACTGAGATATGCTTGTTTTATTATTCTTCACATATTTGCTGCTGATTTGTTTCTAAGTAGATTTTGCAGACGTTTTTCATAAATAGGCTATGGAAAATTGTGGGATTATGCCAGTGGCGGAAAGTAACAAAAGTAAAAGTAGTAAACCTTAAGTATTTTTAAAGTTTAAGCAGATAATTTTACTTCACTACATTTGAGAGCAGGTATGTGTACTTTCTGCTTCACTACATTTTTGAACTGGACTGAAAAGTAAAAGTATTTTTATCATTGTTTGAGATCTGTTGAAAAGTCTGAGGGTTTATTTTTAACACATACGTAGTTTGAGCTAACAAAAATATACAAAAAACAATCAAAATTAGTTATCAAAATCAGTAGATTTGAAGCTTCATAAGAAATTAAAATATGTGTGAAATACTTTACTTTTTAAGTATTTTTTAAAAAAAGGTACATGAATGCGTTTAGTAGATTTTTTCATGTGATTTTATTACTTATACTTGATTATTTCTTTGCTATAGTATCTGTACTTTTACTTAAGTATTGATTACTTTTTCAATACTGGATTTGTGGTATCATTCAGTACTTCTTGCTTTTATTTATGCAACAATATTGTACTAACAGTGTACTGTAGACTGGCTTTATACATGTGTTGTTGAAGGAAGCAGACAGCATATGACCAGATGAGTAATGTTGTTAAAACTCCCACAAAACGCTGATCAGTCATTCAGGAAATACTCAAATTTAACGATTCAACATTATCAAGTTTCACTCAGATGTGCAACTTTCTATTCTATGGCTAACCACGAGTTTTCTACTGTTTTGTAAAGAAGGTGAATGCAGAAGTGGAAAATAACAAAATAAAAAAACAAAAGTACATTGAGAGGTTAGCCTATTTTTTCCTATAAGTTGACGTATTGTCTGTAGTGTGCACTTTTACTGGTTTAAAAGTACCACATTCACAATGAGCCTGGGTTACTCGTGCTTCAGCCTGCACATAGAGGACACATACAAGTTTGCTTTCACAGGGTTCAAACTATGGCAACTGTGCTTCATAGCAATTAAGCAATTCAAATTATATGAGTTCAAATCAGGGAGGAATTGCTTGTCTGAAACAAATGAATATATCAGTTTGTTTATTTATTTAACCAGATAATATATGGTCACATAATGTCCAAGGGCAATATTTCTCGTTCCAGATTCTAGCTTCGGGGGCTTTTTTCCGTCATGCCTCATGTGAAAGCTCAGAATTTTGCAATGGGTATTTTACAATTTAAAAAAAAAATAAAATAGCAGTACTTTCTACACTATAGCCTATATATTTTGTAACTGGATTGAAATAAGTCCTGCTGAAGTAACTGAGGTATTCTCTTACCTTGTTTGAAATACTTTTTACTCTGATGTACATTTTTGAAAAGGCTACTCGCTACTTGAACACGTTGGTTGAGGAGATGTCAAATGCTTTGCTTGAAATGCTCCTTATTGTGGCATTAAACATGCATTTATTCATTAGACGCAGATCCTGTGGGAGTCAAGAGGTCAGAGAATCCATGCAAATCTCCGAACGCTCCCTCTCCTCCTCTTCCTCTTCCTCTCTCTCACTGCCATCTCAGTTTGTGTGGGTCTGATCAGAGGACTGGGGTAACTGTGTTTCCCCTCGTGTGACAATGGTTAAATCCTCGACTGTGCATAAAACAGGGATCAGAAACAAAACTGAACTTAATAACAACAAACGCTATTTACTCAAGCGCGAGCCAAGACTGTCTATTCGGGACATTAAGAGCGAGGACACCAGAGGCAGTGAGACGAGGATGTGAGGAAGCTATAAAACTATATGAGTGTGTGCACCTTTATAGGGAAGGGGAATGCATGAGAAAGATGCAGAAAAAAGTAAAATGTGTATGTGTACGTGCATGTGTGCTTGGGAGTGCACTGAGTACTCCCACTTAAAAACATTAATTGCCGCCTATGTATTCAAGTACGCGACACTGCAGTACATTTGTATTGCTGTATACTTGTCTTCATGTATATATGCATGAGTTTTATACTATACTGTGGTACATTACATGCAAACCAATGACATCTGCTACTAAAGTTATATAACACTCATTCATTTTTCACAGTGTAACTATAGTAACAGTTTTTCGTTTTAATGATTTTGAATTCCACTGACCTTACTGTGAGCAGGTTTGCATCAATTCAATTCAGTTTTCAATCCAGTGTGTAATACCTTATGCTGATTAGAGTCCTGATTTACTTTCAGAGGGCAAGAGGAACGCCCTGCAGGACTACCAGAGGACGGACAGCCTCAAACTGGTCGTGTCCTCCCCTGACCCGTCCCACCTGACCCGGAGCAGGAGGGTCCCCATGGCCAGGTGTGCTCGCGCCTGCAGCCGCAACAAGAGACTGCCTTTCTCCTGCAGGTAAGACACTACACCACCTGTCCACATCCTCCACATTCTTCTGGCCTGAAGAGGAGGCAAAAATGTGCCCTGGTCAGCTGACAACAAAAGACAGTATTTGTATTCTACAAGAAGCTTTAGTTTAAACCAGCACTTATCCTGGAATACAAGCTAATTAAAGGTTCTGTATCCGAGCAAAATGTGTCTTTACTGTGTACAGATTTATTGCACAAGCAGCTCTTTAGATGAAAATATGTCTGCATTTTGTTGTCCAATAATCAGGATGTGTGTGTTAGCATGCTAGTTGTTGTTAGCTTTACCCTGATGGCGAAACTCAGTATAATAATTAGCACGCTTAAAGGGATTAAACATTTTTCAGTTGTATCTGTGATTTAGTTCATTGGCAGTTTACTGTGCCATAATTAAACGTAGTTGTACTAGTTAGCGGAGGCTTGAGCTACATGTTACCAATGTTTTCACTGTTGGAAAAGTTAACAAATGAAAGAGAAGTGGAAAATTAAACTAGGCTGGTATCATTACTGAAAAAAGGACATGTAAAGGAAAAAATTTGACCTTTGCTGAAATGTTTTTGCATGGTACTGATTTATATCCAAATGATTATGTCCATATGGTAATGATAAAGACACTACAATCATTCTAATCAGTTGATGCAGAAATTGCATTTTTATCATTGTGCTATAAAAATCGGTATAGAGTATCAAGCCTCTGTTGTTTTCCTCAGTATTTCAGTTTGAAATGTTAGTATTGTGACTACACTAATAGACATAAGTAGTGAGTCAGACTTTCTTATGTCTGACTCAAAGTGGTTGAACGTAATCCAAAATGTCTGCCATTTTTAGTTGTATATTCAGTGACAGTGGCTGGTCTCGTTCTTACCTCAAACTCAGGTCTGAAACATGCAGCCTCTTGTCTGTCTGGTTCTGCACGTCATCAGGGCTTATTTGCATAAAGTGGAAATAATAGTGTGAGCTTGCCATGTAGAGTACATAAACTGTGTAACAAAACTGGGCTAAGCAAGTGCGGATGTCACCCGTAGCTTTCTGCACCACTCAAATGAAGCTTGAGATGCTAGTGGTTATAGGAGGGAATTTGGAGCCAGCCTTTATATTACGAACAGGATTTGTTGACGAACAAAATAGCGAAAAAAAGCACCAGGATCATGTACAGCGGGTTAATACAAACATTTTAAGATCAAAATGACGAGGCTCACCGCAGCAGTTACAGAGAGAGGAGCGACAATATTCTAATGTAAGTCAATGGGAGATAGGAGCCAGAAGAGCCGCATCTGAGCTTCCTATTTGGAACGTGGCAGCTAGCGGGTTAGCTATGTCCATTTATATATACGGTCTATAGTGCAGTTTGTACGTGGCAATGTAAACAGGAAGAGGAGTTAACAAACAGTTTCTTCTTTAAAGGGACACTGTGTAACTTTTTGGTCAGCGAAAACTAACACAACTGACACGCTTGTTTATTTAAATGGGACTAATTTCCATGTGTAGTCCCATGGCAGGTTGATCTTAAGTCAGACTGCCACAAAAGCAGCAGTAGTGAAAGCAGTATAAGTATATTAGTTAATTGGGAAAGACACATTTTGCTCAAATACATGGGAGACAAGAATCTGATCTCTAATTATTCTAGTGAAAAACGGTGCCTCACACACAGATAAAACAACAGATATACCATCCTGACATACTAAGAATACAAGTGCAAACATGTAGGTCTTAAAAGTGCCATAAAGAATATTACAGTGATTAGAATGAGACCTAACCTGTCAGGAGACGGGAGTCAGTGAGAGTGCATTGTAGGAGCTTTCTAGGTAACTTCAAGTGTAACATGTAATATTGCACAATATTGTAATATATTATCAATGCTAATTAACTTGTCCATGAGCCTTTTCAAGGATTTTATTTAGGCTAACTTGCAAAATCCCTTAATTAAGTAGTTACAAGCTCTATTGAGGTTAGGGTCTAGCTGTTATAAAGTGATGCCGGATTTTCTGTGCTGACTAAATGGAATTGGAATATCACATGATTGTCGCAGCTGTGATTTGAGTTGTGGTTGGTGGTTAGGCGAGTGTTGTTGTGTCCTTGGGCAAGATACATTACCCACATGATGTACATAATATGAATGAGGTGTGTGCGTGTAGGTGTGGAGGTGAGTGATTGGTGGTTGTCACAATACTAACTAATTTCTCGTACTCGTACTACTAAAATATTACCATGTGCTCTAATATAGATGAAGAAAACCACACTAAAACAATTCAGGAAAAGTCAAACATTCCTATTTATGTGATGTTATCTAGTTTTCTAGTATTGATTAGTGTTTAGGTATCAGTGCTTTGGACTCCCTGTAGCACTAAATATCAGTTTGCCCAATAAGACACCCATGGAGGTTTTAAAACGATAAAACCTTAAATTAAAACTTTCATTCATAAATGTATTTACCAGAAGTAACTCAGTTTTTCCACAGCTCTGTTTTTTTCATATTGTTCGTGTTGATAGACTGATGCATCTCAAAGGATGTTGCACTTCCAGCTAGCACATTGTAGTTTGCCAATGACCTTTGTTTTTGGACATTCAGTCTCGATCCCTTTAAGACAGTGAGAGACAGGTTTAGCTGTTATTGTATTAACATCTGATATAGTATCTTTAAAACTTATGTCCAAAGTATCTAATAATTCAAACTTTTTATTGATCACAAACTTGTAAGAAAGAGCCATCTAAGTCACTGTTTGATGCTTTGGGATGAGAGGTGGTTGGCTGATCTTTGGTGGTCCTGTTCTAAAGAAAGTGGGCAAAAATGTATGTGAATAATTTGAAAATCAGGTAGACTACTTCACCTTTAAAGGAACATTTATTATGCAATTTTTGCCACTTCTCCAGTTAGAAAACCCCCCGGGATGAACGTCGAAATGTCTTCACTCCAAAACTTCGTCCAGTTGACAGAATACAATTTTCTTTTGTGATAGTTTTGAAACCATGTTATATTTTTGTTCTCTCAGCAAAAAAAAAAAAAAAAAAAATAAATAAACGACTTTTCTTTATTCATGCGTGTTTCATTAATCTAAAGTGGTCTTCCCTGAGCACTCAATAATGCATTTTCCCTGGACTGTTACGTCAAAGGAAAAAATAAAATAAATCCAGACTCGTTCTGTGCAGTTTTTAGGCCCATAAACCATCACTGGAGTCATTCTGGGTCAGACTGTTTTCAGCGCAAGGGTTGCAATGCCTAAATAGTATGTTTTTGAAATGCAAACAGTTTTAAGTTAGAAAATGTAAAAAAAACTTATCCCAAAGTGAGTACGTACTCATGTCTACCAGAAGTGCAGTGATGTGGACCTCTTTAATTAGCAACACATTTATTTATTTTTATTTATTTATTTATTCATTCGTTCATTTATTGTTTGTTTGTTTAATCCCCCTCTCTCCACAGAGCCTTTCTCTATGACCATAAAAACAGGAAGTGCCAGTGGTTATCCTTTGACCGGAACTCTCCAGGAGTCCAGGCCGTGCAGAACTTCAACTTTGACCTGTACCAGAAGAAAGGTGAGTATTTCCCCCTCTTCATCTCACCATCCAACACCACAGTTATCACTCCATACACAATAAAAAGTATACATATTTAGTGTCAATATTTAGGTCTGAAGAGGAAGGGCAGGGGCCAGTGTTGTGTTTATTGTAGATTACGTTAATTAGAGCTTGGGTTAAACTATGGAAAGTCCCACATTGCATTTCATAAGAGTGCATGACATGGGTGAATAGAAAGAAATTGTTAACTGTAATGTCAGAGTGGCGCATGAGAAGGTTGCTAGTTTGAATCACATCCAAGCAGTTATAGCTGGTGTGCCCCTGAGCAAGGCTACTACACTAGTTTGAGGGCTGAGTTGGGATAAGGGGTAGGTGAAAATGGAATATTTATGGGCTCTTGATGAGCAAATGTAGAATTAGTCAAAACATGAATGAATCAGTCAAATGAGTCTTCCTGGAATTGCCGTCAGATGTATCGAAAATCAGATACAAATCAATACTAAAACTAGTATCGAAACTAGTAATGAACTTTTCCTGAATAGCTTTGGAATAGTCTTGAGCTGTATCAGAGCAGATGGACCACTATGGAACCTTCCTGGACGCCTGAGGAATTACATTGGGAGACGGTATTGAGTATCGAGTCTATTCTGTATTATCGAAATCGAGTTTGAAATGACTACATCATGGTTGAATGTACAAATACATTAACAACTATAAATTAGAATTACATTTTTATTTAGGCCTTTGTTTTTGTAACTAAACTAAAAATATATGAGAGGTTTTCATGTTTTTCTTACTTTGTTTTTTTGGACAGTACCTGTGGTCAAAATTTATCATACTTTTCTGACCCAAAAAAAAACAAAAAAACAACTATAATACTCTACGGCCCCTGTCCCACCAGGAAGTCAAATTATTAACTTCACCCTAACTGTCAAACTAGGGAAAACTAGGATAAATTTATAGTAGTTATAGTTATATTTATAGTAGGGTTAAAATATATAATAATTTTTATTTTACCCAGTGGATATATCCTGGAACAACTACTCAGCAGTTTAATAGTTAATCTTTCCCATGTCAACTGTTAACATCTTGGACTAACGTCGTGCACCTGATTTGAAAAGCAGACCCATCTTTTGGCATTGTCCCCTTTGTCAAACACAGGCAGTGATTCTTTCCAAACATGTCCTTCTGTCTGCTTTCCTCATTAAACATGCACATTAGGGCTGCACGATTCACCGCAAACAAATCAAAAAGGAGTTAGCATGCTCAAATATTCACACATCGCAAAAGGCTGCAATTATTTAGGTACAAATATTTCACAGTTTTGAAATGCATGGGTTGAATATGAGTATACTGAGTTATCCAAATGTGTTAAAAGTGCAGGTATTGCTTATTAAAACTAAATAGAAAATAATAGAGTCTGGATCTGTGTAGCCTGCACTTCTTATGGGTTTAAGAAAGGAACTACAATCACAACTGAACCTCTGTTGCCAGTGTCTTAACCTGCACGTAGAGACACATACAAGTTTTTCCCATTCTCTGTACAGGAACAGGTCATGCCTCATGTGAAACCTCAGAACCTCCAGAATTCCCTTACTGAGCTGTAGAGGCTGCACTAGCACTAGCAGTTAATGATGCAGCGGTAGGAGTTTCGGTAGTGACCACTTGGATCAGAGAGAGACATTTTAGATTTAAACCAACTGGAATGAAACTCATGTGAGCCTCATTCTTTTTTCTGATTGGATAATTGTCTTCAGAACAAAAAAACATAAATTTATAACAAAATTTGGCCATCATGCGCAATGTTTTTGTAATAAAAAATACATCAACATTGCAATTGTCATATGTAAAATTTATTTTGTACATGTTTACCTCAGGGACACAGATGGATCATATTTGTGGAATTTAAAATCTAAATCTTACATATCATTCCTTCAGGTTTGATCCAATCTTTTTTTTTTTTTTCCTTTTTTTTGATACTTGAATAACAACCATAACATTTACCAGTGTGTTTTAGCACATTTTTGATTGATTGCAAACAAATCTTCAGACTGTTCTTATTCGGATAAGCCAAGGAATGATTCATTTTGTCATTAGTGATTAGTTTAGTAATACATATGTCAGTCTTCTCTCAAATGTTGCATGCTCCAGGATGTGTTCTAAAATGACCTTTGTGGACTGTGGCTGAACGATTTATTTCTAATTGTAGTTTCCTGACAAACACTGTAATTAGATTTTCGATTTGTCTTTTAATTATAGCATTCTTGTCAAAATGTTCAAAACAGATCCAGAAGAACTGACAGAAAGACAAAGAACTGACAAATGAATACAAGAATCATATGTATGTCAGGTTTCAGTGTTTGTACAGATCTAAACTACAGGCTTAGCAGTTTTTGTGCAGAATGAGACTGGACATTTTGTTGTTTGTGGAGAAAATTATGGTACTTAAAAATGTGTAACCTTTGTGATATGCTAATTGCATCCATTCAAATTGAGATTTCTATTAGATTATGATTGATCTTGCAGCCCTACTGTGAACTCAGTCTTGATATAAAAACATAATATCTGCTCTCTCTTCCAGACTATGTGCGGGAGTGCATTGTGGGTACCGGACAGAGTTACCGGGGGCGACGATCGGTGACTGTGGACGGGGTCATGTGCCAGGCCTGGTCTTCACCCATCCCACATGAGCACAAGTAAGCCCCAGAAGATAAGATAAAATACAATAAAACAGAATAAATGCTATTATAATCATTCTAATAGGATTTTGCCATAGTGATTAACAATTACAAATCTACACGAAAGGTGTGATGGTTTTAAAGCAATGGTTTGATGAGTTGAAATAAATTATGAATATCTGATCTTGGTTTAAGTAGATTTGACTTGCCAATCAAGAAAAATATCTGTCAAAAATTACACTTTGAAATGAATTTAAGATTAGAAAAATTAATTATATTGAATTGAAAAAAGGTGTTTTCTTTCTTTGCTCAACACAGTCACAATAATCAGTTTGAAATGACAGCGCAATGCACATTTAATATCAAATACTTTATTGTGTATTTATCTTCTCAGTGTACAGTTATTATGTGCTGGAGAATAAAAGTGTGTAGTGATCTGTACTTCCTCTGAACCTGAAATAAGTCCCAGGCAAATCATTTTAATAAAAATCTACTCAAATCACGGCCAGATATTTGTAAGGAATGACTCCAAACTTGCTTAGATATTATGTTTTGCATTATATTCAAGTCAAATTTCAATAATTGGCAGAAAAATGTTTGTTTATACTGTACTGTATATCACCAATGCTCCTTATGAAGTTATGATAATTAAGTGTCACACATAAGTTAAATTAACAGCACATAAAAAACGTTATTTGTTTTGTTTTATTATTTATTTGAGACAGGGACAGTGCACAATTTTTACATTAAACTTAACAGGAGAAATGCATTGTACCAGGTTGTAGCACCAGGGCTAATTTCCTGGGCAGGTTCATTGATTGATTGTATTTAACTGACCTTGGCTATTAACTGTTCTTCATGGAGACCTATGTAGCATGTTTTGGGTTGATGGGGGAAACCGGAGCACCTGGAGAAAACCCATCCAGACACAGGGAGAAACATGCAAACTCCACACAGAAAGGCCCGGGCGACCCTGGGATCGAACCCGGAACCTTCTTGCTGTGAGGCATGAAGGTTCTAAATGTAACCCCAGTTCTCAGAGGGTGCACTACTTACTACAGTATTGCAGGCTTTCATCCACTGTTATTACTGCTGACATTTATTTATTATTTATTATTTGTCTGAATTTTTATAGCAGTGAGCAGAGGTAGGTGGTAGGTGACTCAAGAAAATGTATTGAATTTTACACAAGCCTCAAATGCAAGACAACGCAGTATTAGATTAGATTCATTAAAGACTGACTTGGAAGGAGACAACATTAGAGCTACTACTTTGAGTAAGCTAATGATGAGGGATTATGGTTAAAACTCGTAAAAGTCTATTTTACTGTGTTCCCTTTAAAATAATAAATGACCACACATTTTGCCACTCTTTTCAAACACAGTACACAACTTTTGTATCTACTGTTTGGATCTCGAAGTTTGCACACTCTTGTTAACTTTGTGTAATTAGCCAGTAGCCTGAGGCTGTGGCGTTAGCATTTTAGCGTGTGATTTATTAGGGCTTGATTGGGCTCCTGTGATCGCTCACTCATCTGCTCTTACCTCACTGTTATAGCGTTTCACAACCACCCCATCATTTCCTGTGGCCCTTTGTCCTGTTTATCTAGGTGTGCGCACATCTGTGGATTTCATTCACACACTATATCATATTCAATTCCATTTGGATCAGTTTGGTGTTAGGGGAAGGAAGGCGAGTTACAGATTGGAGGATAAATGTGAGTAAAGGGTCATAGTGAAGCTTTTATATTAGGTTTTATAGAGTGCATGGGCTGTCGTGAGTGATCCGTAAAGCCTAATTGGAATAGCATGAAGAGAATAGCTTTAACTGATCATTACTGTCTAAAAAATGTGGAAAAACAGAACTAGTTCATTTTAAATGGTTTGCAGTGGTCCACAATTATTCCTCACTTACCTTATGCAATCCGAGCATCCTAACCATTCACCACAATGAGTTTATGAGAGTTTTTCACAACAGAGCAGAGCGAGATTTGCGTGACTGTAAAAACAACAAATAGCATGCTAACACGCACTTCCTGGGTCGCACACAAAAATGCTTTCTAATTTGATGTGGACATTATTATTATGATTATTAGGACAAATTTTGCTCTAATACATGACACAGCACCTTTTACTAAGGGTAAAGACAATACCAAACCCCGGGGCCTAAGCATGGCCGTCCATGTAAGTCAGTGGGTCAAGCTCAATGGCGCATGTCTCTTGTTTAGCCTTTTGTGGCTAGGTACATCCAGTTGCTGCCCTTCAATTACAGGGAAGCTTTGAGAGCAGTAGAATTGAATCAAGACACTCTAACATAGGTACAAAAGTATCAAAAATCAGATAGTAATCAATACTAAATCTTGTATCAAAACTAGATAGTGATTTGAGCTGGTTTTGATTCATTTGATCATTTCTGTCACATTTACAGGACAGAAATGAACCTTTCCTGAATAGCTTTAGAATGATCTTGAGCTGTATCAGAACAAGTATAAGAGCACATAGATTAGTATATGCCCATAGTCAGGCTGGTGCCACCTAGTGCCTCCGCTCAGTTTCATTTCTCTCCAGCGACTAGGTCAGGAATTGGAATACACTAGACGGTTTGCAAGAACCCCGGAAGTTGTAGATCACGCACCGGCCAATCAGCGAAGAGCTGTGAAGCCATGATGTCAAACTCAAGCGCCTGTCTTGGTCCCTTTTGTGGTTCAGCACAACAGTAAACAAAGCAGTTGAGATGAATGTAGATGAAGCCATAAATTCTATGTTGGCAATGATAACCGAGATTTAAAGCTGGAACAAAGAGTGTTTGGTGAATTTTATTAAGGGGTAAAACATTATTGCCCTTCTTCCTACGGGATTTGCCACATTACATATGTCAAGACCAAATAGCAGCGATTGGTTAAATGAAAAAAAAATACCCGCTTACGAACGAATCGTAATGCTGCAAGGTCAGACGGTTTTTACAAAGTGAAACTGGCTGATGAATCAGGCTAATACCCCCATGGACCACTATGGAATCTACCTGGGCGACACCAAATGGTAATATAAAGAAGTACTATAAAGAAGTTCTATGATTTCATGTTGAAAATCACATTCTATTCTCTTTTTGATTATCACTGTGGTATCGGAATTGGCATCGAGTCCATCCCTTAGTATCCTTAGCATTCTGACAACACTATTAATCCTAATGTGAAGTGTCTTGCCCAAATACAAATTCTCTAGAATGGCAAATCACCAACCCTCTTTTAATAAGGAACTGTTCAACCAGAACCAGTTTGTCTCGTTTGTCTTTTGGCAAGGCACTTCACTCAACACTCAACACAATCACAGTTTTCAGTTATGAAATGATAAGGCAATGACAGTTTCTGTGGATAACTTCATGTGTTTTTAGCTTCTCCGTATACGATTATTCAGTGCAGGAGAATAAAAGTGCGTAGTGATCCGCTCCTTCTCGGGACCTGTTTATCAGTCTTTGTTAATTGAAAGCATGTGTTTTGTTATGGCTTTGGTCCCTGGAGTCATGGGAAAGCTGGCACACTCTTCATACCACAGACAACAGAAAAGGTCAAAACGCTGTTTATTTACCCAGCCAGTGTTTGGTAGTGAACCGCAGGCTAAATACCCCAGGGAGGAGTCACAAGCCGGGGTAAAAGACTATTCCGAAATGCTGAGGAGGAGCGCTTGCTTTGACATATGCTGTGGTGGAGTCTGTGGGGTCAAATATTTGTGTTAGTGGATTGTAGAGGATAGATAGTTTTGATGTATTTCCTTATAAACCTATTCTTATATCATGGCTACAGATTGGTCCAAAATATCCCTTAGAGAACCTATTATGCTGTTATGAGATTTTAACCATGTTATAGTTGCTCCCTTCCTCATTTACCCTCTCGGAGTTGTATTTAGCGTGATTCTTGTATGTTTGCATGTTTATTCTCCTGCATTCAAGACGCCACTGCTCCAATCTACCTCCATTTTCACAGCCACCGGCATACACCCACTGCTCTGTGCTAACTTTGTTCTCTAATTTTATGTTCCTAATTAGTGATATATTTAGGATTTTTGTATATTTTATTGCAATATTGCAATATCCAAATAATAACATAATGATCCAGAGTGTATCGTAGATTATATAGCAGGCAAACGTTGACCAATACAATGGCAGGACATGTCTTTCAAGCAAGACTTTCTTTATGTAGTCAATTATCTAATGGCAGAATACTTTTGAGTGAATGCTAAATTTAGTTTAGCATCTTAGAATCGCCGCTGGTTTAACATTAGGCTAAAAGAAATACAATGATGCATGATGACACAATCCTATACTGTGATTTAGTGATTTTCTGGCACTTAACTTTCAGAGTCTTACAGATACACACATACATACATACATACATACATACATACATACATACATACATACATACATACATACATACATAGGCTACATACATACATGCTTAACAATTGTAAAACTGTATCTAAGATGTGATAGTCATTGCCATATGCACATATCTGCAGACAGGCTTCCAACAGTCTGCCCCAAAACATCTGCAGCTTCTGAAGTTGCGCAAATGCATTAGAAATTTTTTAATTAATGGCAAAACAATGACTACTTATTTACTGTTACTACTACTAGGGTTTGCCACCTTGGATATTTATCTCCAGGCCACGTTATAGGTCTGATCTGTGGAGAGGTGAACCTTCTCACAGTAGGAATCCATGGTACTTATTGAGCAATAAACCTGTAATTGAATAACTGCAAGATAGATATGTTTAATGCCGTACTGTGAAACAATCCAGACAGACCCATGACTTAAGTTAGCAGACCCTCCACCGGAAAAGTTACACAGTAAACCTTGAAAAACATTGAGAAAATACCAGGTTATGGAAATTATACACCTCTCCAAAACATATGTTGTTTTCAAAAAGGTATGACTCATTGTGTGTCATAGTTTAGGTGGAACTTTTACTCAGACAGAAATTTAAAAAAAAACAACAAATGCAGTTATAAAGTCTTAGCTTTAGTACTGAGCAATATTTTATTAAGCTTTCTTTTACTAACATTTGACCTTCAATGTCAGTTCATTTCCACTGCAGCAAAGCACGTGAAATATCTTCTGTTCTGTGTTTGAAAGATTTGTTGAATTGTAGGTAGCATGTCCTTGGATGTTAGTTTGAAAACTTAACTTTTTCTACAGATTTTTCTCTGCATATTTCACACTAGTTTCAATGTCTTTTCTTTTAATCCAGTCCTGTGCACCTCCATGTTTTTAAAGTCAATACTTCTTGACTGGACTATTAAAATTGCTGTGCTCATAGTAGGATTGGCAAAAGAATCAAAAATTAGACACTAATCAATTCAAAACATTTCAAGACTTTTTTGTATCGATACTTTGATCAAAAAGTCACATTCTCAGGATAGAAATGAACCTTTCCTGAAAAGCTTTAGAATGATCTTGAGCTGTATCAGAACAAGTATGAGCACACGACTAGTATACACCCACGGCCCACTTAGTCAAGCAGAAGTCCTACTGACAGAACATGTCAAGTATATATATATATATATATATATTTATATATATATATATATATATATATATATATATAGATATATAGATAGATAGATAGATAGATAGATAGATAGATATATTTCTTTTAATTTACTCAAGTACATCTTAAAGTACATTTACATTTACACCTCTGTAGCCCCATACATACAAATATTTATTGATTTGTCTTTCGATTGCTTTTGTCAGGTTTATGGCGAGAAGGTTCCGGAAGAAGGACCTGAGGGAGAACTACTGCAGGAACCCAGACAACTCAACTGTGGGGCCCTGGTGCTTCACCACTGACCCCCGGCCCCACATGAGGCACCAGCAGTGTGGCATCCCCCAGTGCTCTCAGGGTGAGTCAGGCACAGCATGGGCGAGTTCTTGTGTGTGTGTGTCTTAATTTGTTAAAGGGCATTAAAAATATTAGATAGTTCTGCATCTCTTTTTCTCCAAAACACGTGTATGCCAATTGTGAAGGCAGCTGTTAGTGTCAAAATGAGACCGCTGTGTGCTTCTGTTAATTGACTGTGCACAGCACATGGATCTATTAAAATAACTGGATAGAGTAATGCTAGTCTGTAGCTGCCTCCAGTTGACGTAGTGGCCACTCACTGGTGGCCACTATGAGCGCAATGTAATTGCTTTTGTTTGGCTGACAGGGCACCTACAACATTCAAAAATCTTGAATTTTGTGGTGATTTTTACCTATTTTTAGATCATAAACTTTTTTTTGGCTCAAATTTTTCAGTTGTCTTGAAAAAACGCTTTATAATCCTTAGAAAAAGATAAAAATTGCCAACAAATCTGACATTTTTGAAAGTTGTAGGTACCCTGTCACCTGAACATGAGCAATTTGTGATTCCATTGCACTCTCTGAGAAAAATCCTCAAACAGCGCCTGGGGTTTTTTCCGTTGAAGTTCCAGTGAGTGGCCACTTCGTCAACTGGAGGCAACTACAAGCTCGCAGTACCCTATCCAGTTATTTTAATAAATCCATGCTTGGCACAGCAGCATGTTAGCTAAATCACTGTGCCCCAAAGCTAACAGTCATTTCTATTAAAATTGTAAATTATAAAATAAACAACCTATTAAAATTCTAATTAATGAACATCAAGACTGCCTGATTGTGTGTATGTGCAAAATACTTTTATGTTTTATATTTACTACGCCTCAAAATTAGCAATAGCATTAGCACTGAGACAAACATCTCTCTTTGTAAACACAAAAGTGTCCTCCGCCCAAGGATTCATTTGATGTATGTACTATTTAACAACATGTCAGTGACATCTATCCGCAGCTCCCAGTTCACTGCCTTTAAATATTTATTAATTTTAGCATGACTCAGCAATAAACACCCAGACACACAGGAAGTAGTGATGCAAACAGTGAGGTTGTCAGGTGCTGTTGTGAACAGAGCCCATTATAAACCATTTTTATCCTCCGTGAACCAGGGCGTTTCGCTGGTGCGCTATTAGCATGCTAACAAAACTTACCTCAAGCCTATGAAAAATTAGATAAGCAGTGTTAAATTAGGTAAACAATTAGGATGCTCAGTATTCATGTTAGGAATACTTTAAAATCAACTAGTTGTTTTAGTTAGTTTTTAATGTTTTTAGCGTTATTAACAATCAAGACCAATTTGTCCACTTTACTATAACATGTAATGTAGCTATAAAGCATCAAGAGAGCTTGTAACCCTGCTCACTCATCAAAAATATAATTGAAGTTGTGTTTTGCTTTAGTCACGCACATTTAGAGTAATACAAATAGTGAATTAAGAATGAATAAAGCTTTGTTATTGCTTAATTATGGGGTTAGGGTTAGGAGTTAGGTTTGATTGGTCAGTGCTATAAAATGGGTGGGGCTTAATGTTTTAATGTCATTACCTTCTCAGAAACATACCTGGAGTTGTGTTGTCTTTCCTTCACAAAAATGTTTAAGTAACCCTTTAATATTAGACTACTTCTCCAAAGCTCAAAATGCTCTGTTCCACCTTGTGATGTCACAAAGAGGTAGTTTTCACGTTAACAACTCCTTTTACCTGTAGTTCAGTTCATTCAAATGATTCTAGTGAAGGGGTATGGAGTTTAAAAACACAGTGGTCCACTTCATGTATCAACATGACATCACAAGGTGGAACAGAGTGCTTTCAGTTTGTGAGAAGAGCTCAGCCTAAATATAGAGGTATAGAAGGTGTTGAACGTGAGTGAGTGAATGAAACAAAGCACAACTCCAGGTATGTTTCTGATTATGACATATAACATTATAACATAGATTAGAAAATAGTGTAATGTGGGCTCTTTAATAATGGGACATGGTTGTAAGATTAGGTATAACATAATCCTTTAAAAACAGCTTGTTAACTTGGCTAAATTTCTCTGCTAATCCAGCTGGAGTGATATGACCCAGTTCTAATGGGTTCTGTTTTACCTGGGGTGGTGGGGTATCTTGTCATTAAACAGTTGGACCAATTAAAATAGCAATTGCTGTTTACAAAGTCACATACCCCGCCCATAGCTGCAGGGTATGCGTCAGGAATAAGGACATAAAGATGCTGTACCAGATTTTTATTTAAAACTGAAAATAACCAGATCTGGTTCAAAGCTATTTCTCATTTTATGCTTTCTGAGCATAGTTATTATTCACCATGATGAGTTTATGAGTGCTTTTCACAACTTTCAGAGACCAGAGTGATGTTTTATATAGGGTTTATGTCCAGATTTTCAAAATAAAAAAAACTGGGACATCCCTGGTTTGGGATGACTGGTATTAATCAAATTGTGAAAGAGTGCAAAATTAAGGAAAATTGTTATGCACTTGGCACTAATCTAAGTCAGTATAGTCACATTTTCTTTTGTGTTTTCGTCATTTTTAAGCAGCTTTTCTGTATTTTACCTAAACAAACGACAATTTATGCTTCTCTTTACTGTTGGCAGGTATCAGATTGGTCAAAAATAGGGACATTTCATGTATAAAACTGGGACAAATCACTGGTTAAATATGCTGGGACAGGGGACACAGGGCTCAAAATTAGGGCTGTCCTGGGTAAATGGGGACATCTGGTCACCCTAGTTTTATAATGTTAACAACAACTAGCAACTTCTTGATGATCAGACTATAAAACTATTAATAATTAGTTCCGAACAGTACACAGCTGACTTATTTGAACCTCAGAAACCGCTTAAACAAAATACATCTGCACAGGTCAAGACAAATGTTGCTCAAATACATGCAAGGAAAATCAAGTACAGTTGAGTACAAAATATTGACCTATATTGTAGATAATTTCACTTTTTGTTCAGTAGGTAGTTGGCAGTTTCGTAGAGTTTAAAAACACAGTGGAGCACTTGATGACATCAAAAGGTGGAACAGAGTGTTTTCTGTTTGAGAGAAGATCTCAGCGTAAATATGCAGGGTTTGTGAGTTAAATATGTGTGAATGAAACAAAACACAACTCCAGATATATTTGTGATGAGGTAACAACATTATAATATAGATCAGGAAAAAATGGGCCCTTTAAATACAAGCTGACATCTCTTCCTATGATCGGTTAGTTTATTGTCCTAGTCTTGTCAAACCTGGAACCCTCATGCTGTGAGGTAAAATAGCTTTCCACTTTGCCACTGCACCGCCCCTTTGTGCCAGGTTTAGCTCTCAGCCACACATCCCAAAATTTGACATCCTTTTTATCACTGCCCATTCTGCTCTCCAGCTCACCAGTTGCCACTTGATTGTCTAATTGTGGTGAACTTGGCAACAGCATCGCCCTTTTTCACGAGCTAATTTTACATTTTGTTAAGTGTACCCTGAGGCCAGCTATAGTGCTTTCCAGGTGTGGGCTTCAGCTCACCCAGTCTGCTCCCATCTCATCACTTTTGAGTTTTAAAGGCTTTAAAGCTAAAGGTGGCCATGTTGGAATGTAGTTGGACAAGGCTGATACCAGTATTTTGTGTGAAAAATAATTAGCTTTTTTACTGTAGTTGACTGCAGATGTTGAGTAAGCACATAGAGGTAACAGCTGTAGATTTTCCAAAATGTGAAATGTCAAAATTTCCAATACTGATTAATGGGGAAACAAACAATTACAAAAAAAAAACAAAAAAACATAGTGAGTTATTAAACCATTAAAACCCCTTTTACCAGAGGTTTTTACATGTCTTTGTCTTTGTTTTGTAATATTGTAGAAGCAGCTCTTGAAGTCAATATAAATCCGCTGTGTGCTGTGTTCACTGACAGATAATCAGGAAGTGTGTATTAGCATGGTAATTGTTTACCATGATGATAAAATCTGAATTCTGAACAACTTTATACCACTGTAAAATGTATACATATGTTTTGGCCTTCTTTCACTTTCTTTTGGATTAGCTGCCTGCGCACTCTGCTGAAAATAGTGAGGAGTGAAGCCTTTTGAGAAAATAAAATAGCAGCATGGTTATAATTGTGAAATGGTGCAAAGATATAAATGATTTATAAAAATACATCTCTTAAAAGTTATATATTACACAAAATAAACTCTTGTGGGCTTTAAGCCATATTAGAATGTAGTTTCTTCATCAAAACATACCTTTTGTTTCATTCACACATGTCTGAGCAATCCTTTATTATTTTATCTACATCTCCAAAGCTCAAAATGCTCTGTTCCACCTTGTGATGTCATGAAGCGATAGGTTTTAAGTTAACAGCTACATTTTACCTTTAGTTCAATAAAGATTGGCAATTCCAGGTCTGAAATAATCCAAATGATTCTAGTGAAGGTGTATGGAGTCTAAAAACACAGTGGAACACGTCCTGTATTACCACCACCAAATGTTGTGTTTTCTGTTTGAGAGAGGAACTCAAAACACAACTGCAGGTATGTTTCTGATGATGAAACAACATTATAACATAGATCAGGAAATAGTGTAATAAGGGCCCTTTAAACAGATAGAGACAAAAAGAACTGGAGACATGCTCAGCTACATAACAAAACATTAGCAAAGTCACTAAGTCGCTAAATGTAGCTAATGGGCCAGCCTTGTTTACAAGGAGTTAGCAGCTGTTTTTGGTTCACTGCAGCTCAAAGCTTTTGCTGCAGTGACTCACCTAATGTCAAAAAAAGCTGTCAATATTAGAATAGTGCTAAGGTATAAGGTAAGCTCTGAATGAAGAAATGAAATCAATCAAGTTACACTGCATAATACACAATACAACACTGAAGAAAGAATAGGCCCAGGAAATGATTGAATGGCCAAGCCTCCAGACTGTTCCTGTTTGACCTGTAAATCAGTGTGTTTGCATAGCCACTTTAAGATCCTGTGATCACAGATTGTCTCCAGATATAAGCATAATCCCCATCTGATTGACTGTGATTACA